ATCTAAATATAATGAAGCAATAAAAACAAATCCAAAATTTGATGGATTAAAAGTATTAGAAAAAAATTTTTTTTTTTGTTTGTATTAAAATATTTCAATTAAATGAATTTTTATATTAGTTTCCTCCTATTCATCATTTGGAAACTTTAGAACGACGTTATGGTCATATATTTCCACCTGATATAATGCATTTATTTAAAGTAAAATATTTCATAAAAAAATTTATTAAATAGATTATATAATCTTGGTTTTTTTGTCATAGGGAACCTTACGTTTATATGCTGCGGATCGTTTAACAGCTGAAGCATGTATTCAACATGAAGCATTTGTTTATTTAAATCAAAATCAAAAACAACAACAACAAAAACGTTTACAACGACAACAAAATCGACCGTATATATAAAACCATAAACGAAAAAAAAAAAAAATCAACAAATTAATTTTGTTATTTATATATATTTTTTTTCTTAGAAAAACTGTTCTCGGTTCATTAAGTACATCTCAAGGACAACATGATCATCATAATGAAATAGTACATTTTGCTATGCCACTTGTTGATAGTCGTTTAAGTAGATGGTAGAGTAAAAAAAAAAACATAATTTTTTTTATTGAAATTTCATTATATATATATATTTTTTTTTTCTTCATGAAAAAAGGTATGATGAAAATGGTGAAATTCAAATTCGTCGTCGATCTCCAACATTACCTGTTCATAATGGTATTGATAATTTAACAGATACATCATTTGCTGGATCATCTACTCTTATTCAACATCAACAAAAATATCGTAGTAATACACAAATGACTGATCGATCAACAAATTCTCATCTTCAACGTCATCAATCGAAATTTGCACGAGCACAATCAAGAAATCAATCATCATCAAGTGATGAACGAATTCAAATAACTGCTGTTAGTCCTATTAGTTCAAATAATACAAGTGATGATGATGATGATCCAAATAGTATTCTTTCACATCATAGTCGTCTAAGACGAAAATATATTAAAAATCGTCAAGCAACTCCACCACCATTAAGTCGACAACAATCATTACGTGAACAACAACAGCAACAACAACAACAACCTTTACCACCACAACCAACATCTCCATCATTAAGATGTGCATCAAATGGAGTTTTATTAAGACCTAAACAACATCATACTAATAATCAACATAATACAACAAATCTTTTTCAAAAATCTTCAAAAGATATGAGTAAAAAACTTAAACGATTTACATTAGATACAGTTGAAAATCGTTGGCATCATCCATATCAAACATTTTCAAATAATCAACAAATATCTGAATCTAACATCTATCGTTCATCAATGGCTATTGTACCTAGTCTTAATACTAATGTCTATGGTTCTCAAATGAATAATAATAATTTATTATTAACATCAGTAAAACAATCTCAATCACAACAAAGAGATGAATCAAATAATGATTTACAACAATCAAGATCTAAGGTTAATATATTTTATTATCAGAATATTCTTTTATTTATTTTTTTTTTGTAGAATTAGATCTGCAAAATAAATAAATATTTTTCAGAGATAATCAGATCTTGTGCATTGTTGAGACATATTTTCGAGATCTACAATGATATGAGAGAGTGAATGTAGATCATCTCTTCAAATATACCGATATGAAGACAATCTAATGTATATATACTTCATCTATATTTTAAACCATAGTAGGAAGATTATATAAAGAAAAGAAAAACTTCTTTTTTGCGTTTATTTCAATATACTTCATTGTAGAGAAATTTGATTGCCTTTTTAATTAATAAATATATGCATAGTTCTTTAGTTGAGAACAAGGATTTTTCTATTTAATTGTCAATTTTACATGAACACTAAGTTTTCGAGAAAACTATGCTTAAAAATATCAGATTTTTAGAGTTTCAATGATCTGAAAACCAGAATAGAATAAAAATTTAAAAAAAGCCTTTTTCCTCATTCGAACTGATGTGGAATTCTCTTTCAAATAGGAGCAATCCGAAGTCCATAGCTTGATTATTGAAAATCTACCGAACGGTTACATATGGAGACGTGAAGTCTTTCTTTTTTTTTGTTATTAATGTATTTCGAAAAATCAAACACCTATACAAAATTTCATTATTATTTCATATAGCCTGTTATAATTAGATTCTTGAGAGAGGTCAAATATTATTGAAATATTGACTTTTTTGTAGACACGAGATTTAGTTCGTAGTCGAACAATTGATTGTCATCCACCATCTATAGAAACAACACCTGTTCTTCAACGAACACCTTCAAGACAAAATATTATTACAGTTAGATCAAATTGATTATTGTTTTTATAATATTTGTCTTAATTTTTTTTTTCAGCATCATCAGATATCATCTGATCCGATGGATCAAGCTGATGTTGATACAACAAGTTAATCATTGATTATAATGTTTTCAATACCATTAATATTATATTTATATTTAGTTTCAACAACCTATTCGACTAGTCGTAGTATTGAACAACAACAACAACAACAACAACAACAACAAAATAATAATAATAAACATGCATGGTATAAATGCTAAGAAATTAAAACTTGACTTTTATTTATAGGAAATCATAGTATAAGAGTAATTAAATATTGCATTTCTTTGAACGATTCTATGTTAAAATTAAAAAAACATTTAGCTTTTTTTTATACATATATGAATAAAATATATTACCAAAAAAATCAAACAACTAAATTAATTTTCTTCTATAGGAATTCAGAACAAAGAAAGTCAGCATATGGCAGTGATAATTATTTAGTAAATTCTAATGGAAATAATTCTTCTTTTAGTCGTCCATGTGTGAGTTTATATTTATTTATATTATTCTCATAATTTTATTTGATTTATTTTACATAGTATTCACCTACAAAAAGTGATTATGCTCATGTAAGTAAAATTGTTATGGCACCTCAACGAGTAAGTTATCATTTAATTTATTTAATTTATTATTATCTTTATATAAATATAATAAAAGGAATCATCTTATGATCTAATCAAATCGGCTAAATCATTAGTAAAACAAAATACAACAACGTTACCAAAAACACCAATAGAATCAAATCGAGTAAATAAAAAAAAATCTAATGTGTGCGACAGAATGAATGTCTTTCCCAGTGGCGGATCCAGAAAATCAATGAGGGGGTGGCGATCATGGTCGAAAACTGGTTTTCAAAGCCTGTTCGAGGCAACTTAACTGCCTTTATGTTCATTTCTACTGAGAAAAAACGAAAAAAAAATTCTCAGGGGGGTGGCGATGGTCGGTTCGCCGAACAGGTGGATCTGCCAGTGGTCTTTCCTAATTTAATGTCTTAATATTGTTATTTTAAAATAATGTGATTCTGCATAAGAAGGTATCACAAGTTTTGCTACACTAAACATTAAGCCGGTAAAATCAGACATATAATACTATGCTATTTCAATATGTCTACGTTTATTATACTAGTTGAAAACACAGCTCATTTTTGTTTATTTTGAGCAATGTATCCGAATATATTAGGCTTTATTCAATTTCTGACATTTCACTTTGATGCATTAGTTTTTTGTTTTGAAGAAAAATACGTTTATGTGAGAGGTATAAATACAAAAAATTTTCCTAGAATAGTCAAACGTTAGGACTTTTCAAGTGCTACAAAATTGCTATGTATTCTGTTTTTCTTTAGTTTCAAATTACAAGGAAAACATTAACAAACTGTGTTTCATTTATGAAATTGGGACATGTTGAAACTTTGCAGTGTTATTGATCTAATTTGTTTGCTTAGCATTAAATCACGAGTCGTTAAAAAAAAATTAAGCCATGACAATAAACTTTGAGCACTTCGATATTGAGAGAAGGTCTTTAACTGATTAATTAATTTCGAAAATGAATCATGTAAATCTTATAGTTTCTAATGGGTTATGAATACTTTCAAAGAAAGTTCAGTTCCATAATACCAGGAAAACTGATTTTTGAATTTCGATTTGGAACTTTATATCAAAACAAATCTTGACGAGAATTGTTTATGGTGAAAGATTTAGATATTTTCATTGTTACTATCCTAAGATATAACTATGGCAAAAGTAAGTCTTTTACATCGATCATATGCACTCTTAAATTGGGTGGTCTTATTCTAGGCGAAGAATAGAGCGAATGACCTGACATGCATAATTAACTATTCTTTTTAAGATTTGTTTCGATGTTAAGTTTAAATTTGAAATTCGAAAATCCGTTTTCTGAGTGCTTCTTAGATGATTCACGACATAGCATTGAAAAAATGTCGTAAAACTATAGTTGCACTGCATTAATAAGTTTAAGAGTACAACAAATTCTTTTCAGAATATGCATAATCCATTAGGATTTGCATGCTGAAAATAGTTCCAACATAACAACGATTAATCCATTTTTGGAATTCATTCATGAGAGAAATATTTATTCTAATATATTTCTTTGTTCTTGTTTTTTCTTTCAGAGACAACAATCAAGTAATAATATTTTTGGTGTATATCCTTATGCTCGAACAGCTATATTACATGTTGCAAATGCTATAATGCCAACATCTTATCAACGTCAACAATCAATTCGTTTACCAAGTACAAAGTCCCGTCATCATGATCGTTAATTCCTAAAGATTAAAATTCTCCTCCACTAAATGATCAAAAGAAAAAAAAAACTATTTTCTGTTTTTTAATTATTATTATTTGATTCTTCACTTGATGACATCTTTGTGCATATTTATTCTGTTATAAAAAGAAATACTGAATAATTCAATTTGTTATATATGTAAACAAAGAAAGAAAAAAAAAACAAAAAGATATGAAAAAATACATGATTTTTTTTTTATTTCACAGCATTTTTTTACTTTAGTTACGATTTCTTTTTCTTTTTTATAGTATTAAGTTATTCTTATCTACATATGTTTTTTGTTTTTCGAACACAATTCATGATTGAGATTTTTTTTATAAATACACACATTTCTTTTTTTTTTTTCTATTTAAAGATGAGTGCTAAATCATCAAGTCGTACAACAGTACAAAATACTACAACCGTAGCAAGACCAAGTACACGAACACCAAAACAACAAACTGATTATACAGATCAAGAAGAAGAATATAAGTAAGTAGAAGTAAAGAAAAATCAATAGAATCATATTTATTAATTAATTAGACGATTAAATGCACAACTTGAAGCAAAAACACAAGCACTTGTTGAAGAAGCTGAACAAGTATTAGTAAGTATTAATTAAATAAAATTATTGTTTTTTTTTTAATAATTCATTGCTTGTTTTTTTTGGTTTTTATAGAGAAATCAAAATCGATTCATTTCAACAGATAATAATGATCGAACTTATAGTTTACTTGATCAAGTTGATACAGATGATCAATTATACGGGTTAGAAAATAAAAATTTTCATTTATATGACTCTTATCTTATAAAAATTTTATATGTAGAGATTTGCAAGCTGCTTCATTGAAACCAAAAGATCTTAAAGTAAGAATTTAAATTTATAATTAAAATTAAAATAAATAAAAACCTAATTTGATATTATCTTTTTCTTTTTTTTTCTTTTCTAGAAAAATTCATCACCAACACAACAACAAGAAAATTTATCAACAAGAAATAGAAAACCATCTATTACGTAAGTTAAATTTAAATGAATTTTTATTTATTAGTTTTTTATTTTTTTTTAGAAAATTTCGTCCAAAAATTGGAGATGAAGTTGCTATTGTTGATGATAATCGATATGATCAATCCATTGATCGTACTTTTTTACAAGATCAAGCTCGAAGTACATTTGATAGGACAGTTGCTGACATTGAAACAAAAATTAATCGTACAAAAATTAGTGTCAATACAAATGTTATTGATAATGATGATGATGATATTTTTCCAGGTGCTGCAAAAGATATGGGTTCTGGTAAAGTTTTAATTAATGAAAAAAAAAGATAATTTTTAATAAATTTTTCTTTGCTATTTTTTTCAGAGGCTAAAATTCGTTTTCTTAAAGCACGTCTTCGTGTTATGCAAGAAGAACTTGAACGAACGCATACAGAATGTGTTAAACGTGTAAGTTACAAAAAAAATTAAATTTATGTTTTTCAACAAAAAAAACAAAACAAAATGAAATGCAATCAAAACTAATTATATTAAGTTTTATTCAGTATGTCGAAATTTTTTAAGAGAAAAAGATCACAGAATGGACTGATCGCCCTTAATGAATGTTTGAAATGTAGGAATAAAAATTTAGATCCTCACAGATCATGACAGACGTTGTTTAGATAAGATCAGAAATCGTATATTAATAACATTTCATTATAATATATGAACTATTTCTTTGAATAAAAGACTGGTAAAGCAATGTATCTATAAAAACGATCTTGCTATTCAGAATTTATGCTAACAGTTTTTATAGAAAAATCGAAAGAAATTTTCGAAAATGAAAGTCTAAATACTCTCTAATTTTACTATCATCTTTTATTGACTTCTCATTCTCAATATTGAATATTGAAATACATATTAAAATTTATAGTAACATCTCTGAGACTAACGAGGGAGCATTCTCAACTGTCACATCGCTTTTAAGTCGAACGTATGCGCATTATGTAGACCCTAACGATCTATGAATTCTCTGAAAAAAGTTCGTGCCACTAGCTTGTTACTACTGAGATACTGCATTTTTACTGTATGTTTAAAAAAAAATAGTCGTGGTCTCCCTCAGGAACACTGAGAAAACTGAATTTCGATTTGAAACTTTGCACAAATATAGGTCTCAATGAGAATACCTTATTGTGAAAGTTTCAGTTCTGTTCGTTGTTCCTATCCTAATTTACAGCTATAGTAAAATTGCTCATATACACGAGCAGATCCGATGTTCTTATTTCAGACTAGGAACAACCAAAAGATCTGAAACCTTCACAAGAAACTATTCTCATTGAGATCTGTCTACAGACAAAGTTTCAGATGGAAACTCAAAACTCACTTTTCCTAGTGTTACTGAGGGGGACCACGACTTTTTCTTAATCATACAGCAAAAATGCTATATCTCAGCAGTAAGAAGCTAACGGCACAAACTTTTTTCAGAGGATTCATAGATCATTAGGGCCTACACGATGCCCATACGTCTGACTCAAAAGCGATGTGACAGTTGGGAATGTTTCCTCGTAAGTTCTAGTTATTGAAACTACCTAGTTGACAGTCCATTAGACTTGATATTGTCATATACATAAGATTAGTTCAATGTAAATCGACCAAAGATTCCCAAAACGATTTCACAATTAATCGCGCCACTGCTTATACATGGACATGCTGCAGGCCTCTTCCGTATTTTGCCTTGTGAAAGCGTTTCCTTCAATATTCTTCAAAGAAGTTCTAAATCATGAAATAGTGAAGAGCACGAGACCATCCTGATTTTGAATTATTGTTTTTAGGAAGAAGAAAATGAACGTATAAATTTAAAAGTAAAAGAATCTGATGATGATCGAACACGTCTTAATCGTGTTATAACAACATTACAAGATCAATTAGAAAAATATAAAAAATTAAGTAGCGATACAAAATCTAAACTTGATACAACTGAAGTTGAACTTAATTCTATAAAAAAAGAATATGAACAAACAAAACGTCACACAAAAAAACAACAACAAGATCAAACACAAACTGATACAAAATTAAATCGTGCTTTAGAAGAAGCTGAAAGATATAAACAACAATTAAATAAAATGCAACAAACAACAAAAGATATTAATGAACAAGATAAAAAAAAAATTGAACAATTAACAAATGAAAATCGTCGATTAGAAAAACAACGATTAGAATTAATGAATGCTTTTAAAAGACAATTGAAATTAATTGATATACTTAAAAAACAAAAGGTTTTTAACAAAAAAAAAAAAGAATTATTTGTTTTTGTTTTCTATTTATTATTTCTTTATTTTAGCTTCATCTCGAAGCATCAAAAATGCTTCAATTCGCTGAAGAAGAATTTTGTAAAGCAATTGAATGGAACACTTCATAATTTTATTTACTCTTATTGATTTGTTCGATATGTTGTTTATGTAAAGAATAAAAACAAAAAACAAATCTATCATGTTTTTTTGTGAATAATTATTTTAACAGAATGTTCGAAATATTTTTGTACGTGACTGTTGCAAGCAATGAATTCAATATGCATCGACTGACTATGCTAGATGGGCATAGAGTACAATAAATGATTCAAGGATTGAAGGTCTGCAGACATGCTAAAAAATAAGTCAACAAAATTCGGAAATATTCGAACTCGAACTTTAGAATGCTTTCATAATTGCTCATAGATAATTGTCTTGATGTAATTGCAAATATGAACAAGTTTTTTTTTTTTTCTTTTGTTCACCATTCAATCATATTGAATGTTAATAGAAAAAAAAGAAGACATGAAATTTTTATTAATATATCATTTGAGCAAAATTGACAGATTAGTTATTGAATCTTGCATTTAACTAATTTCATAATAAGTATTCAATAGGTTTCTAAACAATTACAATTATTTAAAAGTAAACGGCGAAAGAAAAACAGTGTAGGAACAAAATACCAAATTACGACAAATTATTTTTTTCGAATATTTTTATGTTTCATTCGATAAACTTGTCAAACAAGAATAACCATATATATATCATTGAAGTAGTATTCAAAATGACTCACATTCATAATGCAGTTTATTCTCTAACCTACAAGCAATAATGCTGGAAAGCAGACTCTATGACAGCTTCTCAAGATGAACTCTTATTAGTTTTCTCAATAGATCGCTTTTTTTCTGGAAGCGTCACTTCAATTGACAAGCAACTTGTCTCAACTTGCAACAATGAATTGAGTTGATTCATGTAATTAGAAAAGTAAAAGGTTACTATTTTGTTGACATTGTTGTATGGTATGACTAATGTTATTCTAAATTGTATTCAATAGATACTTTTTAAAAACCATAGGAAATTATTATATGTACAATGTCAAGATGCTTCTTTTTGTTTGTATATAAACATTGTTATGTCTTCTACAATTAATGAATATTTGTTTGAAATTATATGAATTGCATAAATGATCATTCTTTAATTTAATGATTTACTTTTGAGATAACGAATGTTAGTCAATTTAACTTAGTTGTATAATGAATATTAAAAGAAATTCTTTATATTCTCTCGATATTTTTTCAACAAAAAGAAAAAAAAACATACTATATGGTATTAATTTTTGTTATATTGAAAACAAATACGATAAATGAAATTCAAGCATCATTTTTCTTATTTATAATAGAAATTGAATATTTTTTTTTAAATAGAGTTATGTACAAAGGAAATCAGAAAGTATTATATAAATTCTGATTGAAATTCTTATACAATGGAAAAAAAAAATTTTTTCTGTACGCTGTTGGAGATTAAACTACTTCAAACATTAATCATATTATCATGTATAAATTTTATTTATATTATTTATAGTAAAAAATTAAAATTAATAAAACTATAAACAATTTCTATTATTTTATTCCTTTCTTTTTTCTTTTATGTATAATTAAAGAGTGAGTTTATTTCCTTATAGCTTAATTTTATAGAGGCAACCGTTTCTAAGCAATAATTGTCATCAGTTACTTTTCTTGTTTCTTTTATTTTTTTTTCTTTTATATTTATTACTTCGATAAAAAATAGATTGTTCTTACTTTGACGCTATTATATTGTTCTTATTCATGAACAAAATGATGATTATGATGATGATGATGGTGGTGGTGATGGTGAGCGAAATAAAGAGAATGAGTGAGAAAAAAAAAAGAAGAAAAAAAGTGAAAGGCAACTTGACAACTATCGTAGTATACTTCTTTCTCGGGTGTGCAGCTTCCTTTCTCGTCAATTGTGTATTCAAAGTAAGATGTGAAAGAAAAGTAAAAGAAACTATTGTGTATATTTCACAGACGACTTTGTTAATCGACAACAGAAAAAGAGAAAAGGGGGAAATAAAAAAATTCAAAAAAAAAAAAAAAGAGAAACACAATCAGCTGCTCTACGCTTTTTCCTAATTTCTTTTTTTTCTTCATATTGACTTATACTAATCAACATGATGCAAAAAGTGATTGAATGTGTACCAAATTTTTCCGAAGGTCAACGAAAAGAGGTAATTGATAGACTTGATTAAGATCTATAAGATAATTTATTTGTTTTAGATTATTGATACAATAGCTCATGCTATTGCAGGTGTTGAAGGTGTTGCTTTACTTGATATTGATCCAGGCTTGTCAACAAATAGAACAATTTATAGTAAAGAAAAAAAAGAACCATTAATGATTGCATGCAATTAACTTTTTTTTTTTTTGTTTTAGCCTTTGTTGGACATCCACAAGCTGTAATTGAAGCAGCTCTGGCTGCTGGTCGAGCTGCATATAATTTAATTGATATGACAAAACATACTGGTGAACATCCTCGTATTGGTGCAATGGTAAGGGGGTGATAGAATTATTTCCTAAGAAAGATAATTGAATATTACTCATGAATTGTTTAACATACGAGAATAATTTTTTAAAATTTGAAATATGAAAGTATTTTCTTTTGGTATTGGTCTTCTTTTAGGATGTTGTGCCATTTGTACCTGTACAAAATGCTACGATGGCTGATTGTATTGATATAGCACGTGAATTTGCTGATCGTTTAGCTATGGAACTTAGTGTACCTGTTTATTTGTATGGTGAAGCACAAGAACGAGAATATCGTCGAGATTTATCTCAAATTCGTGATGGAGAATATGAAGCACTTTATAATAAAGTAAATTTACAGGAAACAATTTAGAATCCCTATAACTCGTGATAGGAACTCCAAGAACAACTTTGTCTATCTCAGATTGTACCACGGAACTAAAGCCCTCTATGAGAATAGTATGAGAAAAGATTGAATCTAAGATATTTATATTTGGTCCTCTTTCTGAAGCTGTCAAGGTCCATAAGCACAGCCATAAGCCTCCATTTTAGATGTTTTTTTCACCGTTTAGTGAACAGAGTATACCAATCATATTTCTCAGTATGGTAAACGATCAGATACTTAATTTTTAGACCATTTGACGACCTTTGTTAACTGTGTACAGTACAATAAAATACAGTCGTTATACTGTGCCTATCAAGTGTCCATTGACAGCTTTTTTCATGACCATAGACTGTAGTATTGTTTGTCATCTCGGTGATTGTAATCATCATTCTAGATCACTGTAACGTAGAAAATCTTTCATCATGGACATTCAGTACCGTTGAAAATCCTAAATTGAAGTATATATTGAAGAATTCTTGAATTTATCATATATGCAGATTGACCTTATTTCACATTCTAATCTTGTAGAGATTGTGCTAACAATTTTTTTATTATGTTTTTGATTTTATTTAGATTCGAAAACCAGATTGGCAACCAGATTATGGTAAAATCTTTATTTCTTTATTTTTCTACATAAATAAATAAATAAATAAATATTAAATAGGACCTAGTGAATTTATACCTACATGGGGTGCGACATGTGTTGGTGCACGAAAATTTTTAATTGCATATAATATCAATTTACTTGGTACAAAAGAACAAGCTCATCGTATTGCATTAAATATTCGTGAACAAGGACGAAGTCAAGACGAAGTAAACATTCACAAAAAAAGGCAATTAAGAAAACGATATTAAATCAATTTTAATTTTCTAGCCAGGTAAATTAAAATGTGTTCGTGGTCTTGGTTGGTGGCTTGAAGAAGCAAATTTATCTCAAATTTCACTTAATTTAACAGATTTTGAAGTAACAAATATACATACAGCTTATTTACAATGTGCAGCTGAAGCTGAAACATTAAATATAGGTATTTGTGGTTCACAAATAGTTGGTCTTGTACCATTACGACCATTATTAATGGCTGCTGAATATTTTATTCAAAAAGAAAATTTATTTATTCTTGATGAAGATCAAAAACTTCGTTTAGTTATACAACGTTTAGGTTTAAATTCTATAGCACCATTTATACCAAAAGAACGTATTATTGAATATATTATACGTGATCGTGAAGGACATGATGATACAATTAATTCAATGGAAATAAAAGATTTAATTAAACATATTAGTGCACGTACATTAGTACCTGGTGGAAGTTGTGTTACATCACTTGTAGCAACATTTGGTACAGCACTTAGTTCAATGTGTGCATTACTTACATATGGAATGAGAAAAGTACAATATTAAATTGACTTTAAGAAAAAAAATTAGAATTAAGTTTTTTTTTTCTATTTATTTATTAGTGGGAACCATTAGAACAAGAAATGCGAGTAATTATTGCACCATTACATACAACTACAAAAACGTTGATGGAAACATTAGAAACTGATACAGAACTTCTAAATGCATATTTGACAGTACAGAAAATGGCAGACACAACTGATGAAGAAAAACATTTGTAAGTTTAGAAATTAAAAAACAAAAAAAACGAGAATGATTATTCTACGAATTTAATACACCAAATAAAATGTATAGATTTTATTAAAAAAATTTAAAAATATCGAAAGAGATGAAAACAAATAACTAATCTTATATATCTATATTAAGTTATGTTCACTTTTAATTTAAGTCTAGTTAAATTTAGAAAGTTGTAGAGTTTGTTAGTATTCTCTTTTGCAACTTTGTTTGTCGAAAAAAAAACCAAAGAATCCTTAAGCTTTTGTTTTTTCTTTTAGTAATATTTATTTTTTGCGATGTTTATTTGTCTTGAAATTTTACGTTATTTACAAATGAGATGTAAAGTATAAATATAGGATGCTGTTACGTATTGTTAAATTATTTTCCAAACGAAACAAAATAAATATTACGTTGCTTATGCATAAAGATACTTTCAAAAATCATTTTCTGATGTCAATGCAAGAAAAGTCATCGATATATACATTACAATATGAACAAGTAAAGATGAATACTCAGTCTATTCAGGGGCGTAAGTCACATGTCAGAGCAGGGGGGGCGTAATACTAATTTTTTATTTCCACCACCAAAAAAATAAACTTTGCAGAAACAGGGGACCATAATCAAGGTTGTCGATTGTTTCCAAGAGTGGAGAGGTTCCCAAAAATCTAAAGTGAACAGTAAAAAAAAAAAAAAGCCCCTACTCCCCCTCAGCCTAATCCCAAAATTTATTCCTTCAAAACTAACGCAAATTTTCATGAGCGAAAAACTGGAATTTCCGAAAGCAGGGGGGCGTATACCCCTTTTTTTCTATTTTGATGAGCAAAAACAACGGAATTTTCAAAAGCAGGGGGGGGCGTAAACCCCTTTTTTTCTAGTGATTTTCCGAAGCAGGGGGGGCGTAACGCCCCACGCGCCCCCCCCTATTTACGCTACTGAGTCTATTGAAAGAAAAACAAATGTATGCTGTGTGTTCTCAATATAAACGAAATTTAGTTCGTAATTTTCTATCTAATTAAAACTCGTTTGATCTGCCGCATTTGTAAGCAGAGTCGAAAATCTTATTGTATATTTTAAATTTTCTTAGAATTCTTGGTTAATCTTGTGTACAAAGCTTTCCGTCGATAAAAATTTACAGACAGTTGTTATATCATCTGAAGTATTCAATAGAAGATTAACTTGACTGAAGCTTTTCCGACATTGTCAAGACCTGAGGAGAGATGAATATTTTGTTTTTGAAAATCGACAAACGCAAAACTGAAATTCCATCGGAGGAAAAAGGAAATTTTTAATGGTTGAGAAATCATCTGCAGACTTCTCTCGCTTGAGGAGACATACCCTAATTTTGACACAATTTTCTTGTTCAATGATTCGAAATTTTTATACTTGTTATTTATTGAAAAATTTTTCTTTAAAAAATACTTCAATAATGAACAATGATTATTTGAATATTTTTTATTATAGTAAACAAATAACTGAAGATCGTTGTTTACAACGATGTCTTGAAGCTTCCTTAGAAGTTATTCGTCAAATAAATGAATTATGGGAACCACTTCAAAAATTAGCATCATTATTTAATATAAATACAAAAGCAGATTTTCTTGTAAGTTATTATTAATATAAATAAAATAAAATAAAATATCATGATCATAATTATAGGTTGGTATTAAATGCCTTGAAACAGCAATATATGGTGCATATAAACGTATTGAAATATTTTCTTTATCATTACTTAAAAATACTGATAATAATAATGATAATGAATCACAAACAAAAGTAAAAAAAAAAAAAAATTTTGAAGCAAAACATTATTAGAACTTATAAAATTTTGTTTAGATATCACAAAATAGTTATCAAGAAGAAGCAAATATATACTTTCAAAAAGCACAAAAATCTATTCAAATTATATTAAATATAGCTGAATCTCGTAATGAATAGATTGAATAAAAAAAAATATATTTATAAGAATTTTTCTTTCATATGTGATATCATTTTTTGTTGCACTAACTAGTCTAGTCTTGTGTCTTATTGTTTCTTTTTTTTTTGTTTTCTTAATCAAAAAAAAAAATAATGTTCTTTTCGTTTTATTTATTACATATTCGATTCTATTGAATTAATCATTTGATTTAAATCTATTTGAATAAGTTTAAATACACTTGTTGTCATATGTTGTGCTAATTGATCTGGTGGATAATCGATTGTTGATTGTTGAAGAACAATATCATCTCGATCAAAATCTATAAATAATGGTTTCCATTGTTGATACCAAAAATTAATTATATTATCTTGATCTGTATCTTCTAATAATGATAAATGACAAAGTATACTACATATTTCATGTAATGAATTATTAGCATTAAGAAATTTTGATTTAACAATAACATTATAAATTATTTTCATTTTAAAAGCTAAAACAGGTTGAGATTCAATAAATTTTACTAACATTTTCAGACGAACATTATATTGATGAAAATAGGGAAAAATAAGATTTTCTTCAAGTTTTTCAATCACTAGATCAATATTTTTATAATCAATTGTATTGATTATATCTTCTAAACCAGAATGTTTTTCATATATATTAATATTTTCAATAAAATAATGTGCTAAATAACGTTTTCGACATACATCACGCATATATGATATCCAAACTTCAAATATATTATGATAATTTTCAAGATCATGTATTTCACATATCCATAAAATTGTTGTACGAAGAAAATAATTATCTAATGAACAATGTAAATATTTCATAGCAAATTTTTTAACAAGTATATTTAATTGATATTCACTTGCATTAAACTGATTCATAATATGATATTCAATAAGAGAAAAATCATATTGAAATGATGTCTTTTTAGATCCACAAGCAACTAAACATAAACAATTATTATTTAAAAGATCTTTTAAACGTTGATGATTTTGGATTCTTTTATCAAACCATTGAAGAATTTTTGGTCGAAATGATAATTGTATAGCTGGAGTAATATAACTTATAGTTGAGAATAAATTTGATGTTGATGGTCGATAAATTGAAAATATAGTTGTTTTGAACATTTCATAAAATTCTATTAAAGAAGCTGATTGAAGTGCTATCTGTTTCGGTAAAGGTAAATTAAAAGCAGGCGCACAAAGTAATTGAATTTGTTTTTCTTTACTATTAATATTCGATGTTGTTACAAAAGTCTTATAAGCTATCCACCAATCATTTAAAGACATTGATTTATGAATTAAACGAATCGATAAAATATATAAATCAAATAAATCGATGCGATAATGTTTATGAACATCAATATACGATTGACGTCGTGTTGCTTCAGTTATTTCAATAAGACGATCTTGTTCGTTAGTAAATAATAACATATGATTCGATTTAATAAAACGACATTTCATTCGAAAACCATCAATATATTCTGAATCATGATCATCATCTTGTGAATATAATTCAGGAATAGTTTTTAAATGTTTATTAAAACGAATTTTTAGTTCATTAAATTTTTCATTTGTTGATTCAACACATTGTTCATCATCAAGATGAGCTACAATGACAATTCGTCTATCGTTTTCAGCTTTCATATAAAAAAATGTAAAAAATTGTTCTGACAAATAATATATGAATAACGCAAGGTTATTGTATACCTGTATTTTTTTCGATATACGCATTTGATATTTTTTATAATAAGCGTAAAAAGAAAAGAAAAAGAAACACCTTGAAAAGAGCGTTTTCATCAATTTATTTATTATTTTATATTTGCTGTTCAAAGACTTACTTCATTTATCTAGTGAGATAAGTTTTGTAAGTAAAAAATTTTTAAAGATACCCAAGTCTACATTTCAGAGATAATTTTAAGGCTTTCCAAAAACCTCTTTTTTTTGTTCGTCATAAAAGAAATATGTAAATTTTCAGTGCCAAAATTGGACTTTTGACTTTCTCGGTGTGAAAATTTCAGTCAAATTGAACTAACTTACACGAAAGTCGTAAGCAACCAGAGTGTAACTCTATGGAAAGTCTGAGTTTTTCAAAAAAAACCACAAAGTTTCCCTTAAAATTTTTTTTTTCTCAAACACATATCTTCTTATTTTTGGTGTTGCATTTGTTATAAAAGTTCCAGTTTGACCGGCTTTACTGCTTTCGAAAACAAGAAACGATCAAAAAAACGAATCGAGTACGCTAAAATTTATTCAGTAATTCAAGGTCATGAGAATAGAAAAACAAAAACAACAAAGTGTTTCTGAATATTGATAAAGTGTAGGTTACATTTGGTTTTCGTTTACTTCAGCATATTATTTTTTTTTGTCTTGCTGATGATTTCATAAAACCTTAAAATTTCATAGATAATAAGTTCAGGTTATTCAGGATATAAAAAAAAAACAATTTTTTCAATATTCAAAATGTGAATATAATATCCAGAAGGGTTGTTCATATGCAGCATCAGTAGTCTATAGTGATATTGAATGAGTATTACTCAATCATTGCTGACTACTAAGATCAAACTTGATAGGACTCTTTGTGACATAGAACGATTATTATTTATATATTGAAGTGTATTAAACTCAAGAATTTTGAATTATATGTAAAAACCTTATTAATTGTATTGATAATTCGTTTTTTTCATAGATTATTTTATATTAGATCAACCATCTCGTAAGTAAGCATTAGCTGAATAATTGATGATAAACTAAGGTCTGTCAAAAAAAAAGGAATGGCCATGGGTATTTTTGCAATAACTCAAGAAAGGAATGAGCTAGAGAGCTGCAGTTTTCATCATTATATAGATCCGTGAGTACTCTATATATTCATCAAGATATGATGGAAATCTATGTAGATTCAGTGTCTCATCATCATCGATTTTTCAAAGAGTCCAGTGCAGTTTTTTAATGTTCTATAGAGACCTATATATCTAAATTCTTTAAAAGGTAGCTCAGAGACACCGTTTTGTAGTTCTTCAATGGTACTCATTACCCTAAAATCGATGACACCGGTTTTCTCCAGTGTCAGTAATCGTAAAAATTCATAATAAAATACATAATAAATAGGAGTTTATCTTCAAGCAAACTATCATATACAAAATAAACGATAATTTCATATAAGCGCAAGTGAAACAGACTATCGACAAAGAAAGTATAGTCAAAGGAATTGAAAATTTGAAACAATAAATAATATAATTTCGCACACGTTTTTTCGTATCTTTTCAGTAATCATTCAAATTGTTCATTTACTTTGTCATATACTTTAATTGCTCTAAGCAGCATTTACATTTTGACTTGCCAACGGCCATAATTTACTATTCGTCCGCTAGTGATTTCCTATTCGATGTTTTCATTCTTCTATAAAAAATAGCATATGTAGTACGAGAATGGACCCTTTTCAACAGCAACTGGATTTTTCCAACTAACTAAACAATATGAAGCCACATACAAAGCAGCTAATAATTATATTGAATCAATTGAATCAACACTAGTTGAGACTGACAATGATGAATCTGATCTTGATTTATATGAAGATGATGATGTCAGTAATAGTAGTGATGATGAATAAGTTGAATATATTCTCGTGATATTGATTTCTATGTCATTTGCAGAATTTTATTAGAACATTTTACTACTGAATTAAAGTCTTGCGATAAAATCAACAAAAAAACTTTTCATTTCACTTGCGCTTATATGAAATTATCGTTTATTTTGTATATGATAGTTTGCTTGAAAATAAACTCCTATTTATTATGTATTTTATTATGAATTTTTACGATTACTGACACTGGAGAAAACCGGTATCATAGATTTTAGAAAAATGAGTGCCATTGAACAACTACAAAAGCTAGAGAGGTGGATCTTGTGCCGTTTTGTAGCGGTGTCTCTGAGCTACCTTTTAAAGAGTTTACACATATAGATCTCTATAGAACATTAAAAAACTGTACTGGACTCTTTGAAAAATCGATGATGATGAGACACTGAATCCACATAGATTTCCATCATGTCTTGATGAATATATAGAGTACTCATGGATCTACATAATGATGAAAACTGCAGTTCTCTAGCTCATTCCTTTCTTGAGTTATTCCAAAAATACCCACGGCCATTCTTTTTTTTGGACAGACCTTACATATCGTGTAATGCATTAAAGAAACATGATTTCAACGCATTGATGTTTTTGTTTTTGAATTCAGACATTTCGATGAAACTCTAAAACTTATTTATTGATTCTAGAATTGAGTTATTATCAACACATGTCAATAAATTCTTACAACATCAGTAGTACTATATTTGCTATAAATCTACCAAATCTTCCACTAGCCGAATTGGATAATCCAATTAGGCATTTTTCGAATACAAATGCGCTTACCACACTGCAAGAGAGTTGTTCTCCTGACAAAATTTTGGTGGGTGGGAGTGTGGATGTGGGTGTAGATATAATGAACAACAACGATCACACGCACACGCACACCCAACCACCCAACCACACCCACAGCCACAGCCACACCCACCCACACCCGCACCCCACACCCCACACCCACACCCCACCCTAAGAATTCATTTTTCATGAAAACTCACTTAAAGATGATAATGAACAATAAGATTTTTTAAAAACATGAATACATCTTGAGGAGAATAAAATATTGCCTTTGATTCAAGAATCATCAAATCAATCTTGCATCCATTGACTTTGTGTAAAATTTGCAATGGTCTCTATGTTATCGTTGCTTCCAATGAAGAAAACTAAATATTAATTCTGAAAATGTCGACTATATATTGATTGATTTCTGTCAGAGTTCGATTGCATAACGAAAAGTTATCACATCCATGTAGAACATTATAATAACAATAGAAAACGTCTAGATGAAAGATTTTCATATTATTTTTTTTCAATTTTATTGATCATAGTGACGAATGCTAGACTAATACAAAAAAAGCAATTGAGATAATAAAATAAATATTGATAGAGCAGTAGACGATGTGAGATTCTGAACATACTTATGCAATAGTCTGTGATAATGTAAATAAAATAGCTAGTTTGATTGATAGAAATCTAAATCGTTCAATTATTTCTTCATTGGAGCTGAATCACCATATAAATTACTACAAAATTGTTTTGAATAACGTTCACCAACAATATTAGCTTTTGCACAAGCTTCACGAATTTCTTTAACTTCTTGATCAGTTAGATGAATATGAACAGCTGCAATATTTTCTTCTAAATTTTTAATTTTTGTTGTACCAGGTATTGGAATAAAATCGTCACCTTGAGCTAGAATCCATGATAATGTTAATTGACCTGGTGTACAATTTTTTTTCTTAGCTAATTCTTTAATATAATTAACTAATTCAAGATTTTTTGGAAAATTTTCTTTTGAAAATCTTGGTTGACTTCGTCGAAAATCATTTTCTTCAAAATCATCTGGACTTTGATATTGTCCAGTTAAAAGACCTCGACCTAATGGTGAATAACAAATAATAGCAACTCCAAGTTCTCGACATGTTTTTAAAAGAGCAATATCATCTCGTTCAATATCTAAACTAAATGGTGAATATTCAATTTGCACACAAGATATTGGATGAACAGCATGAGCTCGTCGAATTGTATCACTTGAACATTCTGATAAACCAATATATTTAACTTTTCCATTTTGAACAAGTTCTTTCATAGCACTAACTGTTTCTTCAATAGGAACATTTTTATCAATGCGATGTGCATAATAAAGATCGACAGAATCAAGATCAAGACGTTTTAAACTTCGTTCAAATGCTTGACGAACATATTCTGCATCACCACGAACTGAGAATTTTCCTTCGGGAGAAACAACATTACCAAATTTTGTTGCAAGAAATACCTAATTAAACATAATATTTTATTTAGTATTTTTTTTTATTAAAAATATAACTCTCGATTCAATTATCTCTCTTATTTATTTTATAATTTAAAATAATTCGTACTTTTTTTCTTCGTTCTGGATAAGTTTTGAAATATTTTCCAATAAGTTCTTCATTATCTCCATACACATCAGCTGTATCAATGAAAGTACAACCAAGTTCGATTGTTCTATCAAGAACTTTGAATCTTTCTTCATCAGATGCAGGAGTTCCATAAAATGCTGATAAACCCATTGCTCCAAAACCGATCGCTGATACTTGGGGACCATTTTTTCCCAATTGACGAGTAGGCATTTTTTCCATTGTTCCTTCTCTTTTCTTTTAACGCTTCAATCTGAAAGCAAAACACATTAAGAAAACAAAAGATGACGTTGCTAGGAGAATTTCTTTTCACTTCAATTGAATCACATGTTTAGTCGTTGAGAAAATTAAAAATATATATATTTGCGTATTACATATAAAGAAATATGTAATTTTGTGAACGTAAATATAAATTTAACATATTATTATGTGAAAAATAATCACTCAGAAAATTACAAGAATCGATTCAACAGATATTAATATTTTCCCACATCGATGAACAATAAATTTAAAGAATAATATTACAAATCGTCGATAAGAGATTAAATAAAACTATCTATACAACCTCAATCTTCGATAAAAAAAACAAATTGATGAAGAAAGAAACATCATTCATACTTCATAGACATGGCAAAATATGCTCAATAATTGGTTGAAAATTACTACGCTTCAGCCAATATAATAATACCTCATTTTATATAGATGACACTGGATTGTTTTACGTTATTATAAGTGAAAAAATTTTTACCTATGTAACATGGGCGGCAGAAGGGTGGTGTGGGTGTGTGGTGTCAGTGTCGGTAGGAGTGGGTGTGGGTGTGGGTGTGTGGTGTGAGTCTCGGTAGGGGTGGGTGTGGGTGTGTGGTATGGGTGTAGTATCTCTTTCACTCTAATTCACCTACACTCAAACCCACACCCACACCAACATCCACACCCTAGGTTCACGCCCAACCCTTAGAAGAGAATAATATATTCTAATTAAATAGATCCAGGAAGATAGTTATTCAGTAGTATGCAGCAGAACTTTTTATTGGAATTGTAATATGAATCTGTTTATAGCATATTAATCATAAGAAAGTCATAAGTAAAAAAAGTGAGTGACCGAATAAGGTTTCGAACATTGGATGTATCAACTTAGTAGCTATCATTCTAACCAGTGAGCCATCCGGTGATGTTAGTTGTAAAAAGTTTAGAAAGATGATAAGCGTTATCCATCGATCCTGCTTTATATAGAATATATCCGCTGGAAAAAGGATCGATCCGTTGGGGGATCGATTCATATTAGGGGGTTGAATGCATTTGAATACCGGTATAGATATATGTATCTCAAATACATCCGATCAGTCATTGGACGAGTACAAGTACAGGAAGTACCAGTAAAACTGAAGATACTTAAAAAATGTACTTTGTACTTTACTTAAATACTTTTTACTTGAGTAAATTTCAGTCAGTAGCGGTACTGTACTGAATTGTACTCAAGTACAGTATTTAAGTACATTAGAGTACTTAAAGCCATAATGTAGCGTAGCTGTACATTTAACACATTGATATCGATGTTAGGATGTGTGATACACACCTAACGTCTATAACTTAGCGACATATTAAGGAAAATGTATATGAATAATCATTATCACGATATTTCTATCTCCATTGTCATAAAACAGCCTCGGCATAAATGATCAACATTGATAACCAAGGAAAATTCAAAAGGCATGAATTTATAGTGGGTAGGTTTAAATATTATGAATATTATGTAGACATTTCTGAGAATGCAAAGTAGTAATATATTAGAATATGTTGATATCCGGCTAAAGTACATTTTGTACTTAAATACTGGTACTTCAGTAAATGAGTACAAAGTTTTGTACTTCAGTAAAATCTTTCAGTACAAGTAAATTTACTGATACTGTTAGAATGTACTCAAGTAATCCTGAATACTCAGTAAAAGTATCAAAAATACTCAGTAAAATACTGAGTATCCAATCACTGCATCCGATTGGAAAAATATGAACCGCTGAGAAATTATTTAATTTTATGGAATTTTTATGACAACCTTCGCAATAAAATAATGTCTTTGAAATTAAGTCGCTGGAAAAGAATTAATCGAACGATAAATTTATTTATGTTGAGATTTATTTGGATAAATCCTATATAAGACATGATAGTATTATAATATAAGGTATAAGAAAACAACCCGAGTTTTATTAAAAGTGCAAATAAACCCCGAAAAACTAAGTCCTCGTAGTCTTCCATTATATTGAGCCCTACGTGAGGATACAATGAAATTTTGTTTCGAACACTACTTGAACTTTTGAATGTATACGAAAGGCAGAAACGAATTGAAAAATTGATTATTCCATTCCATCAGAGTCACTTTTTTCCAAACTTAATTCGATTCGATGTGATTCGGTAGATTCATAATGAATCGAAACGTGGAAAAATTTGCTCGGTTTCGGTTTCTTATGAACACAAAGGTTGTTCGTCAAAAATCATTTTTTCAAAGAAAAATTTCGCTTTTTAGGTCATTTGATGTCGTCCCTTTACTTTGTAACACTACTTTGGGTTCACCTAAAACTTAAATGCATCAAGTTCTATATAGAATTCTATGTCAAACCTAAATCTAGATTCTTTCTTCACATAAATACTCTATGATAATGAATAGCAGTGAACACTATAACTACAACTATGATTTCAGCTACAACCACAACGACAACCTCCACTCAGCAACTAGGTAAGCTTCAGAGTAATGCTTCTTCATCTTTCTAAATACTAATTGTTAATCGAGTTTATGTAGTTGGGTTGTTTGCAACATTACTCTGAAACTAGCTAAAGGTTACATTGATGAGATCAACGATCTTATATCATCAATGATTCCACCTATATCATAAGTAAAAATCAAGTAATCTCGATCTCCATGTTGTCTATTTTTCATCATTATCGGGTTTGCTCTGTTTTTTTTACATCTATAAAATGACATTAATTCTTTCTCTTTGTTTGATACTATTACCTAAACTGTCTTTTTAACAATAAATATATTATTTGAATTGAAAGACAAACATTTGTCTTCAGATGTTATAAAAATGCATTGACTCAAAAGACTTCCGCCTTCCATTTCTTTTCTGAATTCAGAGGATGGATGGGTGGGTATGGTTGTGGATGTGAGTGGGTACGGGTTTTAGTCCATTCTTGCTGCGAAGCCACACTCACACCAACACCCATAACCGCACCCACACACTAATACCCACCCACACCCCACCCACGCCCACCCACACCCACCCACACCCCACCCACGCCCACCCACACCCACCCACACCCCACCCACGCCCACCCACACCCACCCACACCCACACCCACACCCTTCAACTGATTCAATATAATTATCAGCTGCTTTGTACGTGCCTTCATATTGTTTAGTTAGTTGAAAAAATCCAGTTGCTGTTGAAAAGGGTAGCTTATTTCTCTAGTTAAAATATTTTGAAAAAATAAATAGAACAGAGACAAAAAATATAATTCGAAGAAATCTGACGATAAAGGTGTCTTTTGTGTGTTTGAAATTTTTTTTAGCGAATAAGTGCAGTCCAATATGTATATATATGAAGTTGTAGAGAATTTCATGCGCTATCCGAATATATAATTACTTTTCCTAAAACATCAATTTATAAAAATGAAATATTAAAAATATTGAATGCAACTGTTTTTTTTTCAAACGGAGATTTTCGATTAAAAAACCAAACATTGTTGAAAAAAATTTCTATAGAAAAATTCAATTCCACAAATTTTTAAAAACGTCAGTCTATGCACTTTGATGTGCTCTTTCAAATGAGACTACTCTCGAGCTATTCTACTGCGCTGATTCGACCAACTTGCCCTGTACACGTTGGCATGCTTTCTGAAAATAGTGTATGATGCCAAGCAAAAATTATCTGGCGATGAAATAGTTTCATTACCATGAAAAGATAGTCCATAGTCGATAGTATATACGGTGAAAAAATCTCGGTGATAACTCTATTGTTCGTTAGAAAATTAAAATCTACTGAAAAATATTGCACTACAAAATGTTCGAAATTTAGCTGAATATCAATACTTTTACAGTCTATATCTCCAGAACAGCTCATTCGTTTGAGCTGAAATTTTCAGAGTCTTCGTAACTTTACTAGATCTATCTACTGCAAAAATATCAGCCAAATCGGTGAGATCGATTGAGCAAGGGCCTGCTGGGGATGGTCGTCGCTTAGGTACAATGCCTCATATACTATTCTAAGTGTATACAAAAATCATTGATTAACGATTACTTTAATATTTGCGATTCTCCCTACTTTGGTAGAAAGTAAAAACGCCGAACGTAAAAATATCGAAACGAAAATGTCGAAAAAAGTAGAATGATACAAATGTCGAAAGTAGAAATGTCGAAAGTAAAAATACCGCCGGTAAAAATGTCGACAGCAAAGTGACGAAAGTAACAATGTCGAAAACTGAGGTTGATACTTCTGAACATTTTCTTGCTGAGGAAATTAAAAAAGCAAGCAGCTAAATTCCAAACAAATGTTTATCATTTAAAAAGAAAGAATGAAATACAACAAAAAGATTTTATATAGTGATTGATTGACATTAAATAATTTTCCTTTTGAAGGTGTGAGTGCGAGTGCGAGTGTATGTGTGTGAGAGTAGATGAACGATTCAGAGCCATCCACACCAACATCCACAACCACATACCCTCACCCATACCCATGCCCGTACCCACACTCAGCCACATCCGCAATAATGATATCTTTATTCAACATCTTTCAAAAGAGTCGTTCTTCCAATATTTTACTTTTTATATTTTTAAAGTTTTTTTCGACATTTTTTACTTTCTACATTTTTACTGTCGATATTTTTACTTTCGACTTTTTCTATTTTCGACATTTCTACTTTCGACTTTTATATGTTCAGCATTTTTACTTTCGACAGTTTACTTTCTACATTTGTATTTTCTACATTTTAAGTTTCGACCAAAGTTGAAATTACCATATTTGCTCTTATAATTTTGATAATAATATCTAATTCTTTTTGTTTTTCGTAAACAGCAGAGTTATTAGAAGTCATTAGATTAATGTAAAATATCTCGAGCTTGTTGACATTTCTAGAATATGAAATTATATTTTTCGCTTCTATTCATGTTTGTCAATTCAAGACCGATACCAAAAAAGTTAGTCTCGCTTGTTGTAATTCATAGTTCAATGAAATCAAATTCTTTTTGATCGAATGAAATCATCCGAAATAGGATGATTAATGTAACTGTTCTATATTTTATTAAATAAATTAAATAATGATTTTAAATAGAAATTTTCATGTCAGAAAATTCAACTACAACAAAAGAAACTTTTATAAATCTTCTATATTACAACAAAAACAGAAAAAGCCTTATCAAGAATTGACAGAATTTCTATCCTTAAATAACATTTCTATCTCTTTTTCTATTCTTCATAATTGTTTGCTTGAAGCTGATAATGATTTTTATGTTTATGCTGACGATTTTCACTTCGATGGTCGTCACTAAAATAACCAAAACAAAAATGACAAATTTCAAAAATAGTTCTTTTTTTCTGCTCTTTAATTGAGAAATTTTACACCTATATGTAATCGTTTCTCTTCAATCGATTGTAATATATTAATTAAACGAGCAATATCATATTGGCATTAATCTAATTCTGATTCATGTTTTTCTTGTTTTAATCTTTCAAATTCTAATTGAGCTTGAACTTCTTCGATTTTTCTAAAATCGCAACATTAAAAAATGAATTTCTTTTGTCTCATTACAACAAAAAAAAACTAATAATAATAATATTTTTGTGATTCATTTTCAATTGTCTCTCTTTTATGATCTTCTTCTACTTGTACACCTAATTGACGAAAATTTTCTTTTTGTTATATGAAATTGTCTTTGTAATTCTTCATATTTTTGTTTAACATATTCAAGTTCTTCTTCATTTGGTGTTAATTCTCATCGATTAAATTCATTGTGATGATGTTGATGATGAATTATATTCATTTCAAAATTTTCTCTTTCTCTACTAATTAATTTTAAACAACCTAATTGATTAAAACGTCTTGCAACATCTTTTGGTGTTTCACCACTTTGTATTGTTAATTCCATAGATGCACTCATTTCTCAATTAACCATCGTAATATATCAATATATCATTGATTAGCTGCTTTATGTCCTAATTTATTCCACGATCATCACGTTCATTTAAATATTAACAACAGCTTGTTCAACTAATAATTTTACATGTTCAAAATCTTCATTATATACTGTAATATGTGTCGAAAAAGTGAGATCTTAAAAAAGAAAAAGAAAAGAATATTTGATTATGTGTTTTTTTAAATTCATACATTGAAATGAAAAGCTTACTTTCTACTTGTTCAGAATTATCTTTTTCTCATTCAAATGCATAAAAATATTTACAAATAATTTTCTTCATGAAAATTGTTCACCTAATGATTTTAATGCATCACGTTGATCATTATGAGTTCTTAATATTGCTGATGTATTTCGACTTACGGAAACAATAAATTTTAAACATGGTAAATAACTTTTCATTGCAGTAAGATGAGCTAAAAATTATACATAAATATATTTTAAGGTTTAAAATTAAATAATTTAAAATTCTAACCCATTTTATTGCCTTCATTATCACCATCATCTATTTTTCCATTCTATTTAACTAATATTTGTAAACAACCAAGTCTTTCATGATAAATTGCTGTATAAGCTCATGTTCATTCATTAACATTAGTCAGTGGACAAATCAGGATGAGTCATCGAATCAATAGCAAATTTCGAACACACTAATGCACTTAGTAGTGCACCATTTGTGCCAATTTTTAGAAGGGTTTTCTTGGTGTCATTTTGTTCCTAAAAATGAGCTAGACCTTCTAGTGTAATTAGATTTCTCGGCCTAGGAGCCATTTCCGAGAAAATCGAAGTTTTCTGTAGACCAATCGTGAATCAACCAATCAGAATGTTCTATAGCTGATGAGCTACGCTTTTTCGACTATTTACAGATGTGTGCCATTTGTTTTTGGAAAAATAAAATTACGGTTCGATTCAGCGTATTTTTCTCTATCGATTAGGTTACTTTAAAAGTTCGGCCCATTCTATCTATTTCAGAGGGCGCCATAGGTAGTGCATTTGATATTGATTTGCTTAAGATGTGCTCTTTTTCTGCTCTGTCCGTTGACTACATCTCAATGACTGAGATCATTTTATATACATACGTAGATATGTATATGATAAATGATTATTATTGAAGAGTTTTTCTACCCAATGAAAAATGATTCTAAAAATAACGGAAGAGAACGCATTCATAAAAATGTAGAGACTTGTCTTTTACATGAAGAATGTGTTCTACAGCTTAGCGAACGTTTTCACAAACAAAAAGAAAAGTTCTGAGTCTAAAGGAACTCATTCTTTACTGTTTCACACTAGTACGGAATGCTTTCTTCTCAGTTCAAAAATCGTTCTCTATCTGGATAGAAAGCGTTCTGAACCGTTCTATGAGCCAATAGAACGTGTTTCTGCCCATTCTATTGCGAAACAGTCAAGATAGGATTCCATCGAGATGAGACTGCTTTTTTTAACATTCTCTTGAGAAACATCTGAAAATGGATTCTTTTGACTGATGAACGCTTTCATCTGAATTTAACGTCACTTTTGATTCAAAAATGACAGCTCTGAAGTACGACACCCTGAAACTGGTGCCAAAAATGGTGGAACCTTCAATTAGTCATACTTTACAACTGGCAGTCCTGATTTTAAAAAAAATTTTTTTAATTAACAGTTTGAGCTAGGAAAAATTAGAGCACGCCATTGGATAGAGCTCGTCGAGTTGCATCAGAATCGATCTTTCAAAAAATTATGTCTGAACTTCTCTTCGAGAACTCTTATAGTGAATCTAAATTCAGGCAATAACGACCAAGAAAACGTTCCAAAAAAGCTGAAACAGTTAAGAACGCATTCCAAAAAACATGGAATGTGTTCTTAATGGTTCCATTTTGGAACGCTTTCCACTTTTGTTGGAACGTCTTCTTTTCTTAAAAAAAAGGGCTTTTAATTTTACGGAACGCGTTCTTTCCCGTTCTTTGAAGCAAATATTTTTCACTGGGTAAGAAGAACAAACTTATAACGCTTCCATGTAAACGAGTATGTACAACAAAGAAATTTTCATGTACACAAACTATATGAAAACATGTTTGATTACGACCATCATATGCATTTATATTAAGATTATTATTAATGAGAGCCTAACAAAACGTTGTTATTGCAATCCTTGCAAAATTAAAATGTGAAATATGATATAGTTGATATTGCTAAAATTATAGGGAGATTATTTTATTCGGTCTATTTTTGGAATATATTTTTTTTGAAGATCGTTTTATTTAATCGTCCAAAAATGTGTAATGAGCAAACAGTTTGACACATTATAAGATGTTATTTATATATGATCTTTGATCGTACATCAATAATATCTGTTACAGTCTGGATTGAAGGAGAGAACTTGCTAAGAATGTCTGTCACACTTTTGATCACTGGTTTCTAACATGTCTTTCATAATCTAAAAGCAAATAAAACTTCATATAGACGTTTATATCTCGAAATGTAATGATCTTCATTGAAAATATCCAATATTTGATCAATATTATCGAATGACATTTATTTATGTTGATGGATGAACTGTTACGAAGTTATGTCGATATACATACAGTCAATGTTCTTATTTACTATCGTCTTCAGTCATAAGAACAATAGGCCATATAAACATTTCAGGATATATTTCGTTGCTTTGCTCAAGTCTCTTTTTTTGCATCTATGTGCAATCAGACATGTCCAACAATAAGACAACTTTTTTTTTTAAGTGAATAAAAACATGTCAAATTATAACATTCATTGAAATAATTCAAGTCTCTTTCTTAACAATTAGCTATTTTTGAATAGAATTTCTAAGGAAAATTACAACATAAATACATCTTCTACTTTTACATGTATTAATTAATATTCCACATCTGTGAATTTTTCTTTTATTAAGCCATACGAAAAAAGACTATTTTATACAAATGTTCACGATTTCTTCATTGGAAGTTATGAAAGTTTATACATGTTTTAATGATCATGGTATTTTGATTAATAAATCCATAGTCTTTACTTAATACCATTGATAATGGACAAAATTTTGATACTTTACTCCATTCATTTTCATCGATTGTTTGTTGTTGAAAATATTCATTATTTATTTCTAATGTTATTTTATGAATGACATGATTATGATCCGGACTATTATCATATAAACATAATAATATTTGTGCATAACGATATGATCCATTCATGTATGAATAAGAAGGATCACGTATTATTCTAACATATAATGATAAATATGTATTTCGTCCTATATTATCACCATTTAAATATAATTTTAATGAAATTTGATAGGAACTATTCTCTATGTCAAATGACGAACTAACATATGTTGGTTCAGAAGCTTTTCTTGCATTTTGAAATAAATCTTGAATGTTATTAATACGCCAGAAAAGTCCATTATCATTAGAAAGAAATCTTTCTACGGCATTTTGTTTTTCAAATTTACAAACTTTATCTTCATTTAATTTTAAACGAATATCTGAATTTATAATATCTTGTTCATATTTGATAGTTGGTTTAGTACATGATGGTAGAGATTGTTGTGAATCTATATTTATTTTTATCGGATTTTCATTAACAGATTTATTTTGTAAAGATCGATTATCTAAATGTTCATCTTTTGCTGTTGGAACATAAGATGTCGATAAAGACTGTTTACAAGATATCATTGATTGATTTATAAATGACGAAAAGCTATCAGCAAGTAACACTATATGTTGAACTAATGATGATTCAATATGATGATGAATAGATTCTGGAAGAACCTAAAAATAAAGAAAATATTATGATTATTATAATATATTAGATAGAATAGAAAATCTTAAAATCTAATATTTTCAAAAAATTGTCTATGATTAATTGAACAAGACTGTTTAATGTATAACACTTTCAGATTAAATTTATTCTTTTGGAAAGAATTCAGTTTCTATGTATAACTGTATCGAATCATTTCATGTGACAATATCCATGAAAGTCTAAATATTCAAAATGAAATCAATCTATCCAACTCACTATTTGATTGAATATATGATATACATTAATATTCTCTTTTCTTCTCATGAGTTTTGACTGGTTCAACGACAAAATGTGGTTGAAATTAGTGAAGAAGTTTAGGAGTGTGTGGAGGAGTCTCAATCTCGTTCAGAAACTTTCAATTCTCTTCGCCCTCCCATGAGGAAAGAATTATTGAACCTCGTTGTTTTTCTGAATGACTTAAAAAATCAAGTAGGATGCAAATGAGGATGGTTATTCTCAACTATTTGCTTTAGAACATGCATTTCTTTAATGATCACTCACATTTCTGCTGAATGACATTCATAGAGATGCCTTAGCATTTTTTAATGCCTATATTTCAGATATATGTACGAATAATTTATTTTAGTTGTTTTAACTAAAACACTCGAGCATTACTTCAATAAAATAACACTCAGCAAGAGATCTACAACAGAAAAAATATATGATTTCACCATTCGAAATAGGATGCGAAGATACATAAGGTCCTATCCTGTCCTACAGATTTTTTGACATGTTTTCTTGAAATTTTGGATTGAGTGTTATGAAAATTCATTTAGGTCATGAACTCACTATGATGGATTTTCAATTTTTGAGATATGCGTTAGAACTATTGATCAGAGATCTGTAAAACAAAGAGAACAAACATTATCAAAGTCAGCTCATTATGAATCGTAGGCGTTTACTTGTGATAAATTAGTCAATTTTTTCATAAAATCAACAGAAGAATTACTTTTTTTGCTATATTTTGATAAAGCTTTACTCTGTTGATCTGTCTCAAAAAGTCGTTTTTTAAAGAAATCAGAAAAAAAAACCACAAAAAACATGCTAGGAAAATCGGTAACATAAGATTTGATGCATTGTTATCTCGTTTGAGTGGTGAAGACTACAAGTCTCTACCATGCTTCAATCAAAAGTTATTCAAAAGATATCCATGTTCTTTTTTTTCTCAAATGTATATTAGTCATTTTGAGCTGCAGTATCAACTGAGGCTGAACTTTCTACAGAACTTTTCTATGGCTTCGTCACTAGTTTACTTATATCACGCTTTTTTTTACTTGAATCTACTCGAAAAACATATTTCTTGTCATCTATCTACAATATTCTTTTTTTATGTGTTAACAATAATAAGTAAGATATCTAGTTTCACTTGCGAAAATTTTTTCCTGCAATATTTAGCATTTTGATTTGAAAGATAAACAAATGTGTATTTTGTAGAATGCAAAACGCTTGCAGAGTGATATTATCACATCCTCCCCCCCCCCCCCCCCCCCTTCCTCCCTGGGAAGGGGAAGGTACGAGTATTTGAAGGTGGAAAATATTAGGGGAGTCGACGATTTTTTCGAAAACAATCAAAAACTTTCTTAAAAACATTCGAAACCATCGAGAAAAAAATAACAGAATTACCGAAAATTTGGTGAGAGGATACCCAGCTCGCACCATTCTTACCTATCCTGTTGACAAAAAAAAGCATAAGAAAAAAATATATCCTACTATGATCCACTTACTCAAATAGGGTATTCTAGAAAATCGATGTACTATCTTATTACGTTCTTTCAGTTCAATTCAGAAGTAATAACGTTTGCACAATATATCATAGAACATTATTTTATTTAAATCTGATTTAAGATCATAGTAATTAGAAGTTCAACTTACAAATAAGAAAGAGTAGTGTCACAAGACAAGAGAAATAAATGACATAATATATGCAACTTAGATTACTAAGGTTTACTATTGATCTGCCTTCCAGAAATGGAAGAAGAATCTGACAAAAAGTAACGAAAAATTGACTTATGTTCAATAAAGTGCTTTGTTTCACTTAGGTATTCATAACAAAATGTAGGATAGCATTTGAAATAGCTAAGAAAACCACTAATTCGTTCAAATTCGCTCTTTTATCTTTAATAATTACATACATATTCAAAAGAACGTCATCAAAATGTCGACGCTTTTGTTGAATTATTATATTCAGTACATACGCTTTGCTCTTTTTTTTTTTTCATAAGAAATGCTTTCATTATTCAACAATATAAGAATTTTAAGTAAATAAAGTTGGTTTGTTGACATGAAAAGATATAGGCGAACTTGTGTACCATTAAAATCAGTCGTATATAGACAATCGATGAATATCATTAGATATTGATCTCACAAAGCAATATATTCCTTTTGACGTAGTAGAAACATATAGATATAAGAGGTACAGTTGCAAGTTTTTGATAGTTATTTTATTCATGTTTTTATCTCTACCATGTTCATTTGAATGTACATCTATAGAGCAAAACTCGACATACAAATTGGATATCACTCTCTACAGTCTATTTTTGATTTCTAACTCTCACAAACTAGAAAAAAAACGCTCTTTTTCAAAGATCAATACTTGATGTTCAATTTTTTAGGGTAAAAAAAAACATTAACCTTGTTCTGTCTTAAGATGTGACTATGATCATCTCTGTGTAGAACACATTTACGTTAAAATTAGTCAAAAATTATGAAAAGAACAAAAAATTGTTAACATATGATAATGGATTTATTTTGACTATTGAAATTGATTTTTTATATAAACGATTCAACCCTGTAAATTTTATATCTCAGCATAATTTATGAAATCTTCATTTTTGAAATCTTCTCTGTCGATTACAGACAATTCTTATCAGCGATATATCTAACTTGAAAATTAACATTCAAAAACCAAAGCGCATCAATGTTTGAAAATAGACACAAAATTATGTTTCCTTTTACATGTATGTATATACTTTAACATCTCATGGATCTATTGACATCGAATTGAAAACTATTTCTCAGCAATAATCTATATTTTTCCATTCATTTCCATACACTTCAATCAATTCTTAGTGAAAATGAATATATGAATTCATTCTTAACTCAATTATGATTTACTTTTCAGATGAAACGAGATGCAATTGTTATACTAAAAACATCTTATATCTAACTTATTATATGTGTTTTAATTTCTTTAAGTATTTAGGAAGGTAAACTTAGATTTTCTTTTTGAAAGCAATACGAGAAAAAAAAATACAAATTATACCTGAATATCACAACCGAATTTTTTTAATGGACATGAAATAAGAGCTTTTGGACAAAGTTGACCATGTTGTTCATATAAAAAACGATCAATAAAAGTTAATGAACATTGTTCACATTGGAGACCTTCAAGTGTACAAACTTGAAGATGATTCTTCACAGAAAAAAGACAAATATTAGTTTTTTTTTTCTTTTTAAATTTATTCTAAAAAATTTACTGCATATGATGTATAATCTCCTCTCCATGAACATCCTTTTGATTTATTATGACAAACAATATCTGACAAACGTTTCATATCATTTTTCATAGCTGAATCTGTATAAATCTATAAGAAAAAAAGAGTGTACAAATATTATTGTTGTTTTATTTAGATTTTTTTAATCACTTACTATATTATTTGTAATTACCTGAGTACAATTTTTGATAGAACATACTGGAAATTGTTCGCTACTGAACAGAAAAAACAGAGTTTCGAGAAAAAAATTCAATATATAAAACATACTTTATCAATTTTTCAAGACATGTAGAACAATATCGATGGCCACATGTAGTACATTTGGGTTCGACAAGTAAATATTGACAAAGTGAACATAAATAACAAGATTTAATTGTTGACGACGTTTTGTCAAATGGCAAACCACCCGAAACAGACATTCTGAATAGAAATATAAGAATGTATTTAACATCATGATCTTTTATATAAACATTTTTCTAACAATAGTCGTAAAATCAACCGATCATTTTTCTTTTCAATCTATCTTTCTTCATGGATAATCATCATTTATTGGTTAGTTGCTAATGTTCATTTGTCTCGTTGGTCGATTGATATGGACAAAGAAAAGAGTATTTATTTATATCTCTTGATGTTAATTTTTTGCAGTTCTATCTTAATTTATAACTTTAAAATCAACATATACTTTCCGTTTTATTCCAATACATTATAATAAAGAGTTCAAACTTCGTGATAAACATCAAATTAATTGTTTTCGTTTTGAATAAAATATCAAACGTATGATATCTCAACTAGTTTAAGAGATAAATCATTGTGTCATAATCAAATTCAAACATGTTCGATAAACATAAATGAAATTATGAAAATTATTTTAAAAATTGCTTTGAGAATCACATAGAAATAATTAATATAAGTCTAAAGGATAGATTGTCTTTTAAAAGGAAAGACTAAAAAAATTCTTTTTTATGACCAATTGAACTTATGAAAGATACACATGAATTATCAAAAAGAAAGAAAGAAACTATAAAGATATAATAGACACAAACTGGCCTTATTAATGTCTATTTTAATACAGGAGAAGGTCATGCGCTATGTTGTTTATAGAAAGAAAAAAGAGAATTTTTGTCAATGAATATTTTTTACATATATACATACATACATACAAAAGTAAAATTATAAGCAGATAAAAATCAATTAATCTTCGATGAAGAAGTTCATGGTGAACTCTTTGAATTTGCATTCATTATGTTGGGTGTGGGTGGGTGTGTGTGGGTGTGTGGGGTGTGGGTGTGGGTGTAGATGAACAATAAACAAGTACATTCACACCACACACCCAAACCCACACCCATTTCGACACCCACACCCACAAAAATCTATCTTTGCTTATAGTCACATTTACATGAGTCATCAAATCATTCTCCTATTTGAGATCCAATAACGCACTTCAAATGAAATTCATACTTACCATTAAAACTTAATCTATAGACTATATGTCTGATACAGATCATTAATCATATTACAATCTTTCGATGAATTCAAATCAAATTGTTCAATTAAAAATTAAAGGATTGATTCAACGATATCGTTTATTTCTACTTATTTACGACTAATATTTATTAAATTATTGTCAATATTACTATAACATAGCACTGTTATTCGCAGAAAACCGGCTTTTAACGAAAATAAAATCTACCGAGGAATATATATTCTGCATTGAACATACATTTCAGGCAACTTTTTTTCTTATAGTTTTCCGTGAAAATAGATTTTTCGTATAGTAGTGCACTCGACATTGACTTGCATTTGTCACATTGTTTTCCAGCATAACGTCACAAACTATAGAAAAAACTTCCACTGATGAACAATGCATATTACATATATTAAATACATACAACCTCAACATGTATTTCCTCTGTTCGTAAACATAATCTTTGTTTCATTTCTTGACGATGTCATCTAATCGGTATGATAGAAAAAGAAGAAGAAAGAGGGTGTGGGTGTGGGTGTGGGTGTGGGGGGGGGGGGTGTGGGGGGGGTGGGTGTGGGGTGTGGGTGTGGGTGTGAGTGTGGGGTGTGAGTGTTGGTGTGGGCGTGCATGTGGGTGTGGGTGTGTGGGTGTGGTGGGTGTGGGTGTGGGTGTGGGGTGTGGGTGTTGGTGTGGGTGTGAGTGTGGGGTGTGAGTGTTGGTGTGGGCGTGGGTGTGGGTGTGTGGGTGTGGGTCAGAGTTGGAACCGGTCCGGCAATCTGGCTCCGGTCCGGCCGGACCGGACAAGACCGGACAAAAAGTTAAACCGGGCCGGATAGAACCGGATTTTTGCCAGTTCATCATTACAAAATTGTTATTTGCACCCAAGAATATTCTCTACTGAAAACGGTGTTTTTTGTGAAATTTTCAAGCCAGAAGAATGCGGTTGCGAAAGACTTAATAGATATCTTGTCTTCAACTTGACTATAAATCATTGATTGTTCTCTTTGTAGCTCTATCGATTTCTTTCTCGTGTATCGCTCAATTTAACCTAGATCAAATAATTTATTTTCTTGTTTTACTTAGGCAGCTGCCTGAATCAAGAAAAATAAATATTTACAATTTTGTGTTAGATTTCTTATAAACTTGCTTTTTTTCCTTTTTTGAAATTAAGATGAAAAAACAGATTTGATCTGAATAGCTAATTTATATCGATATTGAACTCGAAAGGTTGACGCACCTTGCTATGAAATATGATGGAAAGAGTCTCATTCCCAAGTTTTAGTTTCCAGTTCGGATTAGGGGTGGCAATTTCTTATTAATTTATTTTAAATTTAAATTTATTTGAAATGTAAATTTTAAAAATATAAATTTATTCCAACTTCTAATTTTGTAAATTTAAATTTATTTTAAATTTAAATTGGATTTACATAAATTTTAAATTCAGCTTCAATCAATATAAATCCAATTTAAACGGAATAAAATTCAATTTAAATTCATTTAATTAGCTTTAAATTCTATATGAATTAATGTGAATGGATTGAAATCCAATTAAATGAATTTA